ATACTCTAATTGAACCACTAAAATATTACAAACAGGGGAATTTTTGAATCCTACAGGTCCCTTCTTCTGCAATGGCTAGCTTGAAGGAGGGTCCTATTAGACCCCCAAGCTCTCCTGGTTTTAACGGGGAATAAAACACCATCCGTGTTTCTGAATTCTCTGCGAAGACCATACAGTGTCCTTTCTTTCCTGAATGAGTTTGAATCCCATTGATCCAACTTCTTCTGTGTTGGGAACACAGACCAGAATTTCTACTTGCCCTCACAGCTGCAGCCATCTGTGTTGATCCGGTAGCCGGCGTAGCAAATGCACTCGTAGCCTCCCGGGTAGTTATAACATTCCTGGACCACTTTTCCATGTTCATAAGAAGAATCCCACCCCTGTAGGGAGGCACTGACATTTATTTCCTGATCCGAACACTTCTCCATACCTTCAGAGAGAGAGAGAGTGGTTCCCAGCTTTGGGTCCTCCAGATGTTCTTGGACTGCCTCTCCCAGAAGCCTTCCCCACTCGCTGGCCTGGCCAGGATTTCTGGGAGTTGAAGTCCAGGAACATCTGGGCACTCAAGGTTGGGCACCCCTGTCTTTAAGAGTTTTGGGGAGAAGAACGTGGCAGCTTCAGCTTCTTGCATTTATTCTGTTGCTGAAAAAATGTCCCTCTCTTTCAGACGGCTCATTTTGCTTACCGCACATTGGTTGAGTCACCCAACCAGCTATGGTTTATCTAAATGCCTGCAAGCCAACCGCACCAAGTTTGGAGTTAGTGGGTCAATAGTTGCAGAAAAGAGAGAGTGAGAGCCTGGGATTGTATATCTGGTTATAACCTTTTTTGTATGTCCGTAGCTTGATTTTTCCTTTCCCTCTGATTCAGCCTGTCCAGCGGGCTTCCATGGTGTCAATTGTCAGGAGCCGTGTGCCTGCCAGAATGGAGCCAAGTGTGACCCGAGGACAGGGGAATGCCTGTGCCCCCCTGGTTTCCACGGAAACCAGTGTCAGAAAGGTATGACCCCCGTTCTGCAACCATACCCTGCTAGGGAACAGAAGCTAGTGGACGCTGGCAAAGCCCTACATCTCGGTGGCACAGCGCACGGCCCACTCTAGTACACGTTCTACATGCATTGGAAAAAGGAGGAGAGGACGGCCCTTCCCATAGCTCTGCCTTTTTTTCAACATCCGTGGGGTGGGCTGGAAGTGGTCCCTCATGGATCTGGGGGCTATACATATATATATATATATATATCTGTATCTTTCCAACCATTTTACATCAGAGGTTGGGCAAGGCATTATACCTTTCAGAATACCCTAGCTAGTATGGCTTCTGGTTGATTTAATGAGCTCCTGCTATTCCAAATAAAGCTTCGCAGGACGATGAGTATCCAGTGTTCTGCTTTTCATCACATTCTCCGGCACGTGTTTGAACGGTGGGTGTTCCCCCATAGCTTTCCAGGCTCGCCTCCAGCCTATTCCATGCGTAGACCCTTCCAATGATTAGTAGAGGACCTCTCTTCTGCGTGGACTGTTTGGATTTGTGACCATCTATGGTGATAACAGAGTCACCCCCTTTCTTGTTCCCAGGCTGTGGTGCAGGAAACTACGGAGACAAGTGTCAGCAACGGTGTGATTGCGAGGGGAGCGCTGGTTGCGATCCCGCCAGCGGCCGCTGCCTGTGTCCTCCGGGAAAGATGGGTGCCAGGTGTGATGTGGGTGAGTGTACGGACGGGGTGTTTCACAAAGGGATCTTGTAGAGGAGGCTGAGAGGGAGCGGAATCCCCCAACGGTGTGCTAGCCATTCAAACTTGATATATATATGTTTTCTTAAGGAAGACTAGTTTCCCTTCCAGTCCAGAATCTTATTTCCATGCAAATATATTGATATTCAACTGTGCAGTTCCATACAGCTCATATGATACAGCTTATCAAATTGTTCAGCCATTGATGGATGCTGTAAATGTTACAGTGCTGTAGCAGGATAGTCCAAACATAGCCTAAAGGGGGAATGTGTGCTTTCTTTCCATCCCACTGTGGGATTTCCTCATACATGCATGGCATGGCATATAAACCAAGCCAGTGTTTACCTTCTGAGAACCAATCACAAAACCAGACATGGTCCATGCAAGATACGGAGGTGAGGAAAAAAATTAATGCTCTGTGGCAGATGACTTTCACCACTTAAGGAACTGCCTTAAGGTGATAATCTATCATTTAGCTTGACTCTCTGGATAACTGGGATCTTCCAGATGTTTTTGGACTACAGTGTCCACGAGCCGTCACCGCAGGTGATCTTGGGAAGTTGTAATCCAAATCCACAAGGAGGGCCCCACATGGCTGACCTTAGTCTACGAGTACATTTATTTATTTGTTTGTTTAAATCTGTATCTGTATGATGACGAATCTTCTTCCCCAACCTCTGTCCTGCTGTGCAGAATCTAACAGCCGTCTTCTGCCCCTCTCACTGAACCAGACTGCCCCTTGAGGAAATACGGTCCTGATTGTTCTCTGACCTGCGAGTGTTCTGCAGCCCACGCCTACTGTAATGCTGAGAATGGACGGTGTATCTGCCTCGACGGATACATAGGGACCAAGTGTCGAGAAGGTAAGGCACTGCTCATAGACCTAGCTGTGGTTTCAGAGTTTGGAATCTTCCTTTTTAAAAGTTAAGCTGGTCTGTTGTTTGTTACACCTTTGCCCATTGCCACTATGCATGAAAGCACTGGGAAAACGTCACTGTCATTATTATTTTCTAAAAAAGTAGAGTTGATTCAAGAATGGCATAACACTTTAAAATTCTTGACCACGCCTTCCAAAAACCAGCCCGTTAACACTAGCATCGGGAAGTAATTAGAAAATGGTACTTTTTGTCCCAACTCTTCATTCCACTCATAATTGTTTTTTTGGAAAGTAACTTCTTTACACCCTTGTCACCCAACAAAGTAACTCAGTGCTGATGCCTGTGTTGTTTGTCATTCCTTGGCTTTGATTAATCTTCATGAGATAACCAAACACATCTGTCTTTTCCTAGGAGGGCTACCTCAGTCGCTGATGAGCACGCAACAACAGCCAGAATCACGTGAGTTGCATCTTAAATGGGAAAGGAATTCAATAATATGGTGAAATTACAATTAGTCATGGATTAGCTTACATCTTGACTGCCAGGCAGAACTAATGTGAGAGTTTAGCTGTATATCAATCCTTCCTTGCTGTGCCATTTTAGCAAAACAACATTTCCTGCACATAGAAAGCTAGTTAATCAGGGGCGGGGGGAGAATGCTTTCCATTTTACATGAAGAAAGCTCATATGTAATGGGAGAGCTTGCCAGATCCTAAAGCAGGCAACTTAACAACACAATCCTTTTTGGAGGTCATTCCTTGCATCTAAAAAAACTAGTCACTCAGGAAGAAGTTAGAGTTCCATTTTGCATGAAGAAAGTTAGCATGTAATTGGAGGTTTTGCAAGACCTGAGCAGGCATCATAAGGACAGGATCCTTTGGAAATCACTAATGTACAGGCATGCCATGAAGCCAAAAATGATTGATGCACATAACATCAATGGGAGATGCTGCATTTGGTTTAGACGAGCATTCACGTGGCAGTGCACAACTACCAAGGAATCCTGGCCAGCACAGCTGGTGGCAAAGGCTTCTGGGAATTATAGTCCAAGAACATCTGAGGACCGAAGTTTAGTATAGGCTATACCATTAGCAATACTTTGTGCATTTTTGCAGCTGCTTTTCCTCACCTTTGCCTCTTGCATTTAGTGTGCTTTGCAGAGTGGTTGTGAGCCATTTTGACCCCTGGGGCAAGCAGCTCCATCTCCCATCCTCTCTCTCCTAAGGATGGAGAGCAAGAAAAAGGATAATTTGGTGACCCCCCCCCAAAAAAACACCAAACCAAAAAAGGACAGGCAATACTGTAGCTGAGGGCGTGTTGCTCTTTATTTTTCTTTCCACCAGTAGATTCCGTATCTAAACTTTGGTGCCCTGGGGTGAAGTCCTAGTTGCCCTGTTCTGGCTACAGCCCTTATAGCTGTGGTTTGTGATTGGCCACTGGAAGGTAAACGGAAGCTTAATTTGCAAGTCTGATTACTGTGGGGGTGTGTGCCTCTGAGGAAATCCATTCTAGGAGGGGGAAATGGGTCAAAGCAAAAGGAAGCAGCATTCTGTGCGATGTCCAGTTTGTCTGTAACAGCTATATTTTTCTTTTCCAGAGGCGCCATCTCAGACTTTCTCACCGAGTTCTCTCAGGGTGGTCCCTCCCGCTGTGAAGCACTAGGTCTTCCAACTCAGCATCTCCAGAGGAGAGACTTGAATAGGCCACGAGTGTGGAACGCCTCTACCGAAGGTCATCTCCGCACCGGTTCCTCGTCCCAAACATTTGAGGAGTGTAAACGTAGAGAACTTTGTGTGAAGAGGCCTCCGAGCGGATGGCACTCAAGCCTCTGAAGGGAGCACGTGATTCCCTTGGGACAATATTACCGAGGGGCAACGGCATCTCCCTCCGCTCGTAAACTCGGAAGTGGTTGTTTGAGCATAACTTGTTTTCTACTGGAGGGATCGTGTCTTGTAAATGACCTATTTTCCTTATTTCCACACCTCCTGGAATTATGCTAGCCAAATTCTGGTATTTATGTAAAGATATTTATGGGCCGATGTGTTAACATCTGATGTACGACTCCGAATGTGCCTTAGAAGTCCAAGTAGCCCAGTGTGTGTGCGTGTATGTGGGCTCACAGATCTAGAGAAGAGCAAATGGTCTGGAAATTTCTCTTGCTCAGTGTTGCTCAAAGGGTTTTAGAAAAGTTAACCAGCCACGTTCTAGAAGGCAATTCCCAGGCGTGAGGGGTGCAGAAGGCTACAACTTGAGAATACAACAACACGTTTACAATTCTGTTGTCATCCTATGGAGCCTTCTGTGATCTGTGGTTTGGTGAGACACTTGATAAGAATTATCTGCTGGAGGTCAGAGCAACCCCTTGGGGAGATCTCAAGCTGAGAATTCCAACTCTTCTCATGAAATCACAAATCCAGGATTTGGTAGCCAACGTGGCATCGAACCACTCTTAACTGTATAATGCAGAGAACACTCCTTGGCGTGCAAATGCCAAACCAAAGAGAGGGAAGGACACAGTTTCTGGGGCTGTCTTTCCACCACCTGAGAAGGTTGGAACTGGATGGAAATGCGGAATTGGGCAGAATATTTTATCTTCTCATGTAACTGGGTGGAAATACGGGATGTGGTTTGGAGATGGTGGGGTTTCTAATGTTTCTGAACAGCAGAACCAAAAGGATTTAAATCCTGCTTCTCAAAATTCTGCCCTGAGTGGATGTTTCCGCACATCTGGCTGTAGAAAGGTAAGTTTTGAGGAGGGGTAAAAATGGAAAATCAGAACCAGTGTAAAGTTGAGGTGGTAAGAGACTTTTTAAAAAAAAAAATCAGTATAACAATCTTCCCAACATCTCTTACAAGCTGTGAAGGTATTTAAATATCCTGTTGCCCAAAAATGGGAGTGGGGGAAAAAGCCAGGCAAGTGTTTTGTCCACTCCAGCAGGATTCTTGCTTAGAAATGGGTACGGACCGCCAGTTTGTTGGAGGGCGAACGCCTGTTGCAGGGGTAAACAAAGAGGAACAAACCAGCCGTTTGCACCCATTCTTGAACTGGTTGCGAGATTAGTCACACAACAGGGAGCTTGGTGGAGCAGGGGAAAAGCTTATGTGACACATGTTTGTGCAACTGTGTGTATGCATATGTGTGTAGTCAACACATAAAACAGGAGCTTCAATCTGGTTTAGCAAATCTAGGAAAAAGGGGGGGGGAATCAAAACCTAAGAGTTGTTAGAGACTAATGAATTTATTTCAAGGTGAGCGTCCAGATTTATTATCTATTATTCTGTGGATTACAATCCACTTCCTCAGACACATGGAGGAGGAGCAGGTTTGTATACACAGGAGCACCTGGTGGGGATGAATCCAGATGGAAATAAGGCAGTGATCATTACACTGGTAAGTCTTTTAACATGGCAGAAGTCAAAGTGCTGATTTCCCATATGCCATATTCTCCACAATTAAAATGTTATGTTGGGGTGGGCTTGTTATGAAGGCAAGTTTTGTTACAGTTGTACTAAGTCCTGTGTGTGCGTGTGTACAGATGCTAAAAATCTTTGGTCTTTATTTAATCCTGTTAATGTTCTTCAGAATTTGTGAATGCAGTCCACTTTACCTGCCTCTTTTGAATCTTCCTTTGCAACAGAATGTCCTGGGACACCGATTTTTGGCTGTTGGCTTGAAGTCCAAAGCAATTGCCCAGCAAAAGGGGGCGTAAAAGATGCAACTAAAAAAGCTCTCAATAGGTGACAACACTGGGATCCAGTGTGGTGCTCTTAGAATAAATGAGGGGGTATGGTCAGCAATCTGGGCTTGTCACAAGCTGTAGTTTATGCCTCCATGTAAGAGACATGTGGCCTGTTGAATGTTGGTAATTGCTTAATGCTAAACACCCACACACACAATCCAGTTTCAGAACACTCCATTCTCTCAGGTTCTTGCTTATAGATCTTGGAGGACTGCTATAGAGAAAAGACCACAAAGATTTGAAGGAGAGGCAGCTGAAGTGGGCTGCATTCACAAATTTCCATTTGCATCAACAGGTTTGAATAAGGATACAGGCTTCTTACCAAACTCTGTATGTATATTAATACTGTGAACTTACGACAGCCTTCACTACGGCTGTTACCAGGTTCTGGGAGAAAACCTCAGCACAACCATTTAACTGTAGACAGAAACAATGCCTGTGTGATCAACACTTTAACAGACGGTTAGCCTTGTTTTAAGGGTTCATGTCCAGTGTAACTGTCACCCTCCAGTTCTCATTCCCACCTCAGGTGCATTTTGTGTACAGAGCTGTGGCCTAACCATTATGCTTCCTGTGTCTGAGGCAGTGGATTGGAATTCGGTGAAAGCTCACCCTGAAATAAATCACTTACTCTTTAAGTGCCTCAAATATTTTGTCTTCATCTCTGCCATACAGATTTTTTTGGGGGTGGGGGTGGTGTTTATAAATATATACCGTATTTTTCGCACCATAAGACGCACTTTCCCCCACAAAACAGGGGGGGTGGAAAGTCTGTGCGTCTTATGGAGCGAAGAAAACAGATTATGGTTTCCTGTTTTCTTCTCCTAAAAAAATTGGTGCGTCTTATGAAAAGGTGCGTCTTATGGAGCAAAAAATATGGTACATGTCCATGGATGTTAACATATTTCTCAAAGGGGGGGGCTCATATTTTACATATGTGTTCTTATTTATGTACCTGCGTACATACAGACACCTAATTATACATATAACACATCAGCCATTAGTGTGATTGTATACACATAGAAGTAAATGCATAAGACACACATTGTATGTGTATATAGTGGTTTTAGACATGTCCATACCTAAATCATCTTTTCATGTGGCTTTGTGTATATATCAATCTGTAAGTATATCTAAACATCATCTGTCTATATTCTGTATTCTAAATCTGTCTACTGTATGTTAAATCCTATATCTGTGTTCTAAATGTCTATTCTAAATCCTAAATGTGTATTCTAAATCTACTATACTCTAAATGCTAAATCTATATTTTGTATTGTAAATGTCTACTGTATTCTAAATCCTAAATCTATATTTTGTATTCTAAATCCGTCTACTGTTTACTATATCCTAAATCAGTCTATTGTATTCTAAATTTATCTACTAAATCTATATTATGCATTCTAAATCTATTTTATTTGGAACCCTAAATCTGTATTCTAAATCCCAACACCCCCCTGAAGCCTCCTGTTAGCTCACACTTACCTATGGAGAAGTACAGAAGTTCCTTAAATACTTCTGTGGTCGGTCACACTTACCAGCTTAAAATGGTATGTAGCTAGACACATATCTCTATATACACATGGATGTCCAGGGTGGTGTAGTGGACCAACATCAATCTCAGAGGCAGTTGGTAAAGATGTTAACGCTTGTATTACTCACTGTGCCCCAGTCCATTGACTCGGTACAAGACAAGACATGCAAGCATTGACTTCTTAACTAACCAGCAAGATTTGGATTAACCCTAGTAGCATTGACTTCTTAACTAACCAGCAAGATTTATGGCATTGGATTAACCCTAGTAAGTGTAAACAGAATTCCAGCTAGTGTACATGTAACAGATATAAGATTAGTACATATAAATGTTTGGTAACACTGTTCAAGTTCTCCTCCATTAAAAAAAATCTAATTTAAATGGAAGGGCCTCTTAGCCTGGTTCTGATTTTACCCATTTCAGTTGAATGAAAATTTGAGTCTTTCCCGGGAGGTGTCCCACCATCACCCGCTGGGCCCTGCTCTCACCCCTTTGTGCTTTTCTCAGCTACTTGACAGAACTGATACACCTGGAGCAGAAGACCTTGCCTCTGAGACAAGCCCAGAAGAAGTGAACATGTCCTTGTTAGTACATGTTCATATACTGTCTATATTCAAAAGGAAACTATTTATGTATACTTAACGCTACCCTGTATTTAATGGTGTTGAATGTATTTCATAACACCACATTAGTATTGAGGAGTCCCAAACCGGGGAGGGGTGGGGAGGTCTAAGCAAAAAATTAAATAAAAACTGTGCTTTTCTAAATAAAAAGGAAGTCTTGTTTTGTGTTGGATAAGTTGCACATAGAAAAAGTCAGCCCTACTTCTGCGCACCCCACTTTTGTTATTTTTGCTTTTAGAATGCTTTTACAGCAGGGGGGTAGAGGAGAAAAATAAATCGAAACCTGTAATTCTGTTCACATGTGGCTGAGTCTCAGTTCCCATGAAGCAGAGCCCAACAGAGTGTGCTGCTTTATAGTGGAAGTCTTGTTTTGTGTTGGATAAGTTGCATATAGAAAAATTGTCAGCCCTACTTCTGTGCACCTCACTTTTGTTATCTTTCCTTTTAGAATGCTTTTACAGCTGGGGGGGGGTAGAGGAGAAAAATAAATCAAAACTTGTAATTCTGATCACATGTTCTCAGTTCCCATGAAGCAAACCCCAGCAAAGTGTGCTGCTTTACAGTGCGTAAAGCACTTTCTGGGCAATTTGCAATTTTCATTGTGCAGGCTACACACTTGAAGATACAATGAAGTCAAAGGCCATAAACATGAGCAGGATCTTGTACTCAGTGGCCTTGCATTCCCCCCTTCCAACTCCATAATTCTATGATTCTACAGACATTCAAATTGACCAGTGGTTTCCAACCTTGACTTCCCCAGATGTTCATGGACAACAACTCCCAGAAGCCTTCACCACAAGCTGTGCTGGGCGTTGTAGTCCAAGAACATCTGGGGACCCAAGGTTGAGAAGCATGGGTCTCAACCATGGGTCCCCCCTCAAATGTTCTTGAACTAAAACTCCCAGAAGCTTTCATCCCTCACTCTGCTGGCCAAGATTTCTGGGAGTTGTCGTCCAAGAACATCTGGGGACCCAAGGTTGGGAACCACTGAAGCAGTCCATGTACAGAATTCCCACAAAGGTCCAATGTGCCTCTCGTCATGACCATTAAGTCACATGTGTCTCTTTCTCTACCCCCAAACAGCAAAGTCAGAGAGAAAACTACCAACTTACCTTGCCGAGCTGCTATTCCAAAGACAACATAGCTGGAAAAATTAATGTATTATATAAACACAACACAACACAACAGCTTTAATGGGAAAGGCACATAAATCGCTCAACAATTCCATAGCATGAGTCGGTGTAGGAGGATCTTGTGTTTCTAGGGTTTAGAAGACACAGAAAAGGGGACCAAACATCATCTCTCAGCTGTCCCACCCGTCCTCTTACATAAATATCAAGAACAATTTTCACAACCATGAGGATTGTGTAGTCATGCTTCCTCTGGATTTTACTGCTGTAGATTGCCACACATCGCTGTATAGAGATATTGCCTCCAAAGTCCAAATAAGCATGATAATTATCCAGCTTCCAGTAGGTCAGGAACAAGGAGGAGGTTGCCATGTTGTATAGTCAGCTTGGAAACAAACATATAATGGATTCCACCATACAGAGAAAAATTCTTATTGAACAAAGCAGGAAAAAAAGAGCAAAATTTAAAAACAGAGCAGGCAATGCCTCTACTAGACCATTAAAATCTTCAGAAATGGGTAGCTCTTTAATTCGGCAGGCATCCCAAAACAAGTGTGTGTGTGTGTTTTATACTGCAGAGTTTTGAATTTCTGGGTCAGAATTCTCCTTTTGGCACAAAGCAGAAGTACAGAGACTCACAAAGGAGAATAGTTTCAAGTTCCCCCAAATAGTCCACCCCTTTCTCATTAACTGGCATTTAGAGTCTCAATAACTCGCTCTGAGACATTCGTAGCAGAAAGAGAAGGCTCCGTTCCCATCAAACAAACCACAAGCATCATGTGAGGTTGTAAACATTCCATGTTATACTTTTTAAAAGACTCTTAAATCTGAAGTCCAAAAGATTACCTGGTTTTTAGTGTTGTTGCTTTTTAAAAAATTATGGTCTAATGTAGGCATCACCCTCTCATTTCGGAATATTTCTTTTACATATTTCCCTTAACATGGAGATCATCTGGATCTTTGCTTTTTGGCCTCCACCTATTTTCCTGAACAAGCGCTAAGTGCCATTTTACAAGTCCTGTATCTAAATACACTCCTTTTCAATCCCTGCAAAATTTAGTTTTTTTAAAATACAAAACAAAAACCTTGCCCTTAAAGCACAAACACTCCTTCTGAGACAAAATTAAAAAAGATTCTCAATGACAGCAACAGTTAAAATCATCTACATTTAAGGAGATGTGGGTACAGGAAGAGAAGGTACAGCTCAGTGACATTCCACTAAAAACATCTACAGCTTAAATTAGGGCCGGGGAGAAATTCATGCCATTTGCTAGGCATGCCAAAGACTTAAGAGCCCAGTGGGCTAGCAGATTTGCTTGGGGGGCAGGCATTTATTTAGTGAGAATGGTCATGGGGAGCTAACACTGCTTTCTAATGGATTATCCTTTGCAGGAGTTTTTAAGGCAGAGGAAAACCTGTGGCAGAGATACTGTTTAATTGCAGGGACTTCGGGGTGGATGCCCCAGGCTTACAAGGAGGATCCTCCAAATTCCAGGGGTACAGAGACCGTTCAGCACTGTGCCGAGCCCAGCTTTTCCGAGCAGCGGCTGATGCTTTACTGCACTCGGAAAGAGTTGCAACGAGGATAAACGAAGATGGCCCAATATTCCCCCAACGAATCCATATTGTCCTCTGGGACGGATGCCTCGCAACCCCATGTGGGTGGGCCAGTCCCCCTAATCCTTTAATGTGTCCTTCATGCATTCGCTGAACTTCTCCTCTAGCAGTCCACAAAGGGGTTGCGCGAGGTCGCGGCTGGCGGAGGTTCAAGAAACAACTCAAATTCATCCCTTGAGCCCTTGATTCACCAAGCCGCAAAAACCAGCCTCGGTTGAATCTCCTGGCACCCAGACACAGAAGGGGGCGACTCTTTCGTAAGGCAGTAACTTCAGATAAATCCGCCGCCTGCTTAATCTCGCGGAAGGCCAACGGTGCAAGCAGGAGTCCATCTAGCCCTGATTATTATAAAACACCCCAAAATAGTCACTTGTAAACTCTTAGATCGAAGAGTTAGATCTAACACCATCAAACGGGGGACAGTGACAAAACTCAGAAACATCGTCTTTAGACACCCGCCCCCGGTGAACATTGACCGCTAGAAACTGGCAATAAAGAAATGAAAGATACCACCACTGAGACCACAGGCCATCAAATATACCACAAACCCGATTCACACATCCACCTCCCCTTCGGCTCCACAGCTAACCATCTTCCAAGGAGTGATGTGGTTTAGAGGCTGCACTTTGCATACTCCTCCTTTGGGAAAGTGCACAAAGTTTTTTTTGTCTCTTCCATCGATGGCTCCCTTACAAGCCACTTATTTAAAACGACAGAACTGGGAGTCCACTTTTAAAACTAGGAGGAACCTGAGGAGCGCCAGCTGCAGCAGCTTCTAGGTTTCTGGTTCCTTATGACTTGAGTGGCTTTTGATTCCAAAAGTACTCTCGGCAGACTCATATTGGGTACGAACCGGTTTACACATCCGTTTCTATACGCAGCCGCTCCATGCGCTGTACGTTGCGCTCTACAGTAGAGCGGTTGGTGATCTCCTGGGCACAGGTTTGAGGGAACCACCCTTTTTCCCCATCACGCAGCCGCTCTCCCAAGTACCAGCCTAAACAAGGAAAGACAAGTCAGTGACAAGAATTTAATCCCACTGCAGAATATGTACACATTTACAGTGGTGCCTTGCATTACGACGTTAATTCGTTCCAGCGAAATCGCTGTAGAATGAAAACGTCGTAATGCGAAAATAAAAAGCCCATTGAAACGCATTGAAATCCCTTCAATGTGTTCCAATGGGCTGGAAATTCACCATTCAGCGAAGATCCTCCATAGGCCAGCCATTTTCAGTGCTTATGCAGTGAGGAATCCGTCCCAGAAAACAGCGGAGAGCTATTTTATTTACCCGGCGGCCATTTTGAAACCGCCGATCAGGTGGAGGAAAATCGTTGTTTTGCAAAGAATCGGTTCCCAAAGCAGGGAACCAATCATCACAAAGTGAAAAAAAAAACCCATTCAGACCAACAAAGTGAAAAAAAAACCCATTCAGACCATCGTTTTGTGATCGCAATTGTGATTGCAAAAAGATCATCGTAATGCGGTTTCGTTGTAATGTGGGGCAATCGTAAAGCAAGGCACCACTGTACAAGCTGGAGGAGAGTCTCAGGAGATTTGAAAAGCACAGGCGTAACCAAATTCTGATGAGATACTCATGCTAGCATAAGCTTCCTAGAGACTGGAAATGTGAATATTATTCTGACGACTCCAACTTTTCAGGAACTCTGGGACAGAACACAACTTTATTTTCCAAACTGTTATTTCATTAATTTTATTATTTGCTTATAAAACTTAAATTTGATTGAAGTTGCAATAAATGCAGGCTTTATTATTGCAACTTTAAACTGCAATAAATGCATGTTATTGGGATAATAAATAAACTGTGGGGTTCCTGGAGTTGTCACCATCCCAAAGAAAAATAAAAACAATAATAATGATAATGATGATTTTTTTCAAACTCTGCATGTTATGACAAACATTTTTCTCCTCTGATCTTTTCCCAGTATTTCTTCAAATTTGAGGCAACATAGCAGATTTTCCAAAGTTGGGTATTTGCATTATTTTATTCCCACAATCACTTTGTGAGGCGAGTCACTCTGAAATAATAATAGTTCAAGGACACTCTGTGACCTTCAAGGACCTGAGTCAAAATTTGAAAAGGGATCTTCCTGGGATTGTACCTAATGGCCCAAATCCTCTTGCCCAGCTATGCAGATAGTGTAACTTTCAGAGGCAAACTGTTCCAAGTTAAGAAATCAATGTAGACCTGATCAGTGGCACGCCAAATCATCCAACCACGCAAATGGTTTCTGGACATGGAAAAGTGTGTGTACATGAGGTGCAAAGCCCAAGAACTTTTACCTGAAGTTCTTAAACTATGGGTCATAATTTCTTCCCCATCTCTCGAATCTGGTTTGTTTTTTTTTACAAAGCCCACTCACCCCCTTCGCTAGCCAGAACCAGCACAACGTCACTCTGCTGGAGGGAAATCTCATCCGTCTGCTTGGCCATGTAAGCCCGGGTAATCTCCACTTGCTTGAGGTCTTGGCAGAAAGAGAGAAGACAAGGGAACCGATCATCACAAAGTGAAATTCCCCCATTGAAACCATCCTAAAGCGATCGCTTTTGCTAGTGCAAAAAGTTCGTCATAATGCGGTTTTGTCGTTAAACGGGGTGCCCGTCTTGCGAGGCACCACTGTACATGTTTCTGGACTTCTGAAGTCTTAAGAGTCACTCCCAATGTGATTCCTCCCTCTTATTTCTCTGTGCACTCACTTTGGCTAAGTTTTTGTAGACATTCACTCTTGGGGGTGACATACTCAACAGCCCCTTCCAACTCAATTATCCTCTTATTCTATGAACTATGTTTGCTAAAAAAAGACATAAGACATTTTTTAAAGGATGATAAGCCTCATTTCATAGCACTCTGTGCTGTTCCCTCTGCTTGTGGTTTCCAGCTGGATGTTCTCCAGGTTTCACTATCCCTAAATAAAATCTGTAACATACCGGTAGGCGTTACCTCTCTGGGGTTTAGCCAAACAAAGAAAGGACTTTACCTTGAAGGTGTGGCCCTTTCTCGAGTTGAACAAACAGAACTGAAGACAGAAAAAAAGAGTTCTCAAAGTACATTGATCTCAACTCTTTCCAGAAGGCACTCGTTCTCTAACAGTCCATCCCAACAGAGAAATATTAATAGAACAGAAGCACTTTCTAACTCTGCTTTTCTCGTGGCGCAGGAATTAAAACTGCAGTATTGTAGTGAAGAGTCTGCTCATGACCTGGTTTGATCCCAGCAGATTCAGGGAACTGGCTCAAGGTTGACTCAGCCTTTCACCCTTCCGAGGTCCATAAACTGAGCATGCACACACACCAGAAAGACCACTGCTAAGGACTGTTAACAACCCATGACAATGGGTGGAGAAGGACTGCAGAAGTGGGATTATCCCTCACTGCCCCCCTTGTCCTTTGTCCATCTAAGGAGCCTGTTCAGACCAGGGGGAAGTAAAACCAACATGGAGGATCTATCAGGGACCTCCTACCAACTCTCCTCAGACTGAAGAAGCTACTTGGATGATTAGCAACACATTTCAAGAAAGAAGTCCAGTTGCCATGACTCAGCTTCCAGACATCCTTCAATATCTCAAGGTCTTCAGAAACCCTGTTTCCATTGCTCTAAGTCAGAATCAACTTGATGGCCTGTACAGTAACACACAAACACTACATACGGCATCCACGGACTCAGAAACCAAGTTTTAACCTTGGTTGTTCAGGATGTGTTGTGAGACCAGCCAAGAAGGGACCTTAAAGGTAAGGTTCTCAAATCAAGATGCCATACCTCCTTTGTTTCCAGTATCCACTGACTTTTCCTCCCTGTGCATCAAGGCAGTGATCCAGGTGAGACCAGCCAAGAAGGGACCTTAAAGGAAAGGTGAGGTTCTCAAATCAAGATGCCATACCTCCTTTGTTTCCAGTATCCACTGACTTTTCCTCCCTGTGCATCAAGGCAGTGATCCAGCGAGCACGGTCGCTCCTACCAAAAGCAGAGAGCAAAAGGTATTAGAAGCAGAACTCCCCCATTTAAAAAAGATCTTATTTCTCCCCGCTGCCTGTATTCTAGAAATACTAGCAGATCATGTGTATATGTGGGGAAGAAGTTAAGAGTATGTGTTTGGTTAGGAAATGCAGAATTAATATTATACTTTTGGACCAACAGACTTGGATTTCCATCTTCATAGTGGAGCTGGATTTAGACCCCGTGGAAGAAATAACGTGTCCATTCTCAGATTTCTGGCCTGAATTGTCCGCCCATCCCCATGGCACATTCAAGATGGTGGGGTGAGGGAGAAAGAAAGAAAGAAGGGTTCAACGTCTGACTCGTGAAAACCAAACTGAATGTCTTGTGTATCTCCAGAGAGCTGGTAACCCACCGTATTCTGTTGTGAGGGAAACAGTTTCTCAAGCAGCATGCTTCCATGGATATTCAACCCTGCCATCATCATCTCTATCTGTCCATTCATCCACACACTTGATATGCAGCTTCCAGCAAACTTTTTTTAAAAAAAAAAACAGAGGCCCAAATCCTGTTGCATGACTACTCCTCCATAACTCTCTTAAGCAGTTGCCAAATTTACAATGAGGCCGAAGTCCTATCCAGCAAACAGGTCTGCAGGCACAAAGACATTGCTGGTGGCATCATCAGACACACAATGCAGGCCTAGTTCTCTCAACTCCTGTAGGGAGAAATTTTGCTCGCCTCCTTTTCCTGGGCCTGATTCATGCAACCATCCTTGAGAGGACACCATCCCTCAAGGTCAAGGCTTGAAGAGGTCAAGGAAGAGGACGCTGCCAGACAGGACCGCTCTGGGATAAAGGGTGAGGCTGAACCAGCCAACCCAATGACAAACAACACTCACAGGGTTTCTGTGGCCAGCACTATAGCCTCCCGTTTGCCTTCGCTGTCCTTGTTCATGACCACCCGGAACAAGTGGCCGCTCCGGAAGGCGCCGCTCGAACCCGGCTTGCCGGGGGGCGAAGAGGGGACGTCGGGGTTCTCAATTTTCTCCACAGTCAGCTGATCCAACATGGCATAGTTGAGGACTGTGTAGCTCTCCTCACTGCAAGAAATAAGAAGGCCAGCTAAGGAAGAGCTCACGAGACCCAACCCAAGACGTCCAACCCAAGCAGACAACACAACAAAACTCTACAAGACAGTCCCAGCTGCACGCTGTCCCGGATCGCATCCCAGCCCAATGGCCGCATTAAATAATTGCTCACCAACGGCCTCTGTCTCAACAGGCTATTCCCACCTAAATCAGCTCCTCATGAGTGTGCCACTGGCACTCCCAACCAAAACAAGACCATATCTTCCCGCCAATGGCATTTAAGTTACCACAGAGGCAGAGGAGAATCTGTTCAGATGGGAAATGGGGGGAGTGAGCATGTGTGCACGTCTCACATCCGGTTCCTTAATCTCTAGGAATCTGGTGACTTCACATCCAACAACAAAATTCCACAGCTCCTTCCTTATCACAAAGCACACATTTTCTGAGTGTTTGTGCTTGCAGAAGAAACATCCCATGATTTCAAACAGCAAAACCGATGGGAATCAAGTGGCCAGCAGTTACGTTTCAGGGGATAAGGAACTTGACCAAATGAAGTAATTGTAGACTCCTTGTTTTTTAGCTTTAAAGACTGCTTTTCAATGATGAAAAGCCACCTTTGCCTATTCACTGCTTTTGACTTTAAATATTGTCTTTTAATGATGTAAGCCACCATTGTAGACTCGCTGCGTCTTACTTTAAATGTTGTCTTTTAAGGATGTAAGGCACCCTGAGTTTTCTCTAAGACAGGTGGAGTAAAAATATTTTAAATAAATAAACTAGAAAAGCTGTTTTTCTCCAGGCTGAAGAAATAAGTCAAACAGATCCTTTGGAAAATGGTGAAATGTCCATGGTTGGAAGGATTATTTGGTACGATAGTTATTTTATTGATTAATATAAAACTGTCACTCCATCCATTCTCAAACCAAAAAAAAAACCCAGTCCCCTCTTAAACAACATTTGTTCATGGGGGAAAATATTGTCAAACAGTTGGATACAGTTACACACACACCCCTCTCTCACCCTGTGCTCCCCTTATGGAAAATGGTGAAATGTCCATGGTTGGAAGGACTATTTCGTACAATAGTTATTTTATCGATTAATATAAAACGGTCACTACATCCATTCTCAAACCAAAAAAAACCAGTCCCCTCTTAAACAACATTTGTTCATGGGGGAAAATATTGTCAAACAGTTGGATACAGTTACACACACACCCCTCTCTCACCCTGTGCTCCCCTTACTTTTTTTTCCTGGTGATAATGAGGACGTCATTGAACACGAAGAGGTAACAGCTTCCTCGTCCGGAGCCCTTCCGAAAAATTCCCCCGTCTTCCACCAGGGGGAGGCAGAGTTCTCCTCTTTTCAGCAGCCAGCGGGAAGCAGAGATGAGTGGGAAGTTCTAAGAGAAACCAAGGACACAGCTGGTCAAGATAAGGGGTTCAACTCAAAGACAATGGCATCAGCTGGTACCCCAGAAACAGACAGCTTTGGAGTTTGCATCTTCATAGCCAACAGGAAAATGCAGAAAGATGCTTTAGAAAAGCTCCCTCTCAGACTGGACTGCGGCCCATCCTCAAAAGCTTCTCTTTCTTTCACTCCCCATCAGTGGATCTAGTGCAAGTCTTAAGGGTTTAGAGAGAACTCATTGAAGGACCTTGCATGGGGCACTACAGCATCAAGAACCAGCTTGGCCAAGACTATGTGCCATACACAACAGCTTATAGACCAGAGGTTCTCAACCTTGGGTCCTCTCAGACTGGACTGCGGCCCATCCTCAAAAGCTTCTCTTTCTTTCACTCCCCATCAGTGGATCTAGTGCAAGTCTTAGCTTAAGGGTTTAGAGCAGTGGTCCCCAACCTTGGGCCTCCAGATGTTCTTGGACTTCAACTCCCAGAAATCCTGGCCAGTAGAGGTGGTGGTGAAGGCTTCTGGGAGTTGTAGTCCAAGAACATCTGGGGACCAAGGTTAGATACCATTGCCCTAGAATATGTGTAGAAGACCTCGACTGAAGTGGATTCCCAAAAAGCTGGGAGGCACAGAAGATGAGCGTGCCTGATGTTGAGTTTGCCTAGGCTGAAACGTTCAACTACTAAGATAGATTTAGGGAAGCCCTCTATTGCTCAACTAAGCCCCTGCAATGCTGGACAGACGGAACAAGTAGAGAAGAGATTTCATGCATTCTGCCCCAGGATACAAACACAATCAAACCAGCAAAAGGTAGGACAACCAACAGGGAATGAAATTTCCCCGAGTCAAGATTCAGGTCAGAATGAGCAACTCAGGTGCGACCTCCGTTCATGTTCCTTTCCAGCATCATCCCGCCAAAAAAGTTGAAAATAACGTTAAAAACAAAAACTGAGGAATCTCTGGAAAGCACAGATCTGGTGCACACTCCAAAGTCTCATCCAGACCAAGGAGAATGAGCCACCCATCCCAGTTGGGATGTTAAGATGTTTGGACGTTGATGGAGGGGGATGGCCAAAAGTTCATCTTTTGGAGCACAGACCGGTCCCCCTTGACTCCGCCAATGTTTCCGATTGGAGACACTGTCGGGATCTCACCTTGATCTTTCCAAACTCCAGGTGCTTTTGCAGCATGTACATCTGCTCCGTCCTTTCCATGGTGTGGGCACCCTCGTTGCACCTCTTTACGAGCTGGAAAGGAAGAGGCACAGAGCATTTCATTTACAAACGCCACTCCACCTCCGAATGTCTACCCATTCCCACCTACATCTCACACCCTGGGATGTGATGACCTAAGAGAGGTTGTTGTCGCTCACAATATCTGGAAACAGGTCACCCCCAAACCAGGCCTTTTCTGTGGTGGCCCCATGGGTCTGGAACTCGCTCCCATCTGAGTTGCGATTAGCCCATCTCTGCTTCATTTTAAGAGACCCACCAAAGCCTGGCTATGCTCACTAGCCTTTTAGGACCTTACTCCTGTTTAATCCTGTCCCCAGTAATCTCTCTCCCCCCCCATTTCTGTGAACTTCCTGTTGTCTGTCCCCTGTTACCATGCTCTGTACTTAATATATTTTTTCTTAGTGACTTTTGTCTTAGTGACCCTAATTTCTTATAGATTTTTCTTGTTTGTCCTCTTATGTCAATCTTATTATGATTTCTGCATGTGTCTGTTACGTCATTTGCACAGGATAAATATAACTACGGTGGTGCCTCGCTTAACGATTGCCCTACATTATAACAAAATTGCTGCACAACGATCTCAGCTCCCGTCCTGGACTTACCTTGCTGAGGGCCTTCAGAGCCTGCGTGGAAGCTTCGTAGGCTGGAGAGGTCATCCGCGTTTTCTGACAGACCGTCTGAAAGCAAAGAGGACAAGCCTGGCTATTTTCCCCCAAAACCACAGGCTGACAAAAACCCTTCAGGTCCAAAATCTGAACTATAGCCATACCTTAAATAAGCAGGGGCCGGAAACTCCAACTTGGCCCCTCCCCACCCTATTTTGAAATGATATTTAAAAGTCCACTTGTGTTTTCTATGGGTTGAAACAAGGCAATGTTTGCCCTCCCCCCGCCCCATGCCTCAATTTTCTTCTTTTAAAAAAAATTTACACAAGGCAGCCAACCGAAATGATCCCACACACCAGTTTTGCAGTATTAGGCTTATGCTGAGCCAATGCAATAGGATTCTGGCTATTTTTTTTTCATCGTAAATTTGGAAAACTGGGCTGCTGGAAGACGATTCAAGGGCTTTTTTTGGAGGAAGTTGGAGGCCCAGAATAGGTGCGTCACCATTGGGCCATTGTCATTTGGCCACCTCCTTCTATGGCTAAAGATGACAAAATCCTACACCGCCGAAGCTGGGAGGGTTGAGATCCTCCACAGCAGCTAGCGTTAATTTCTGTGTCTGAGGCAGGATTTGAACCCAGGTATCCTGAGTCCTAGTCTATCACTGGACCACACTATTTTTCACTAAGATAATGATGCTCCTCTAGTTTTACTCACATCCATGAGGAGAGGCAGGCGTGTCACCCTCTGCATGGGGAGGATGAGGAAGGAGATCAGAGGAAGGCTCCCACACTCCGGTTTCTGCTCAATGTGCTTCAAGGTCTCCTTAAAGGCAGGAGTTGTTGCTCTGTCAACAAAAGAGAAAAATCACACTTCTATTTTTGAGGCAGATCGCTTGAGTTCCAAAAATAACTCACTCACTCAATGTTTTAGATCTCTGGCTGTGGATGCAAAGGTTTGGAGTTTGATTCCCCCACTGTGTGCCTCCCAGGAGAAAATCCAGCCTGGGTGGCCTTGGGCCAGCTGCACAGTCCCAGAAGAAGGGAATGGTCAGCCACTTCTGACTACTCTCTATCTGGAAAACTGAGGTGTTGACATGACTTATCACTGGCTGGATCATTCAGTGATTTCGGTATCTGGCTGTGGAGCCAGAGGTTGGGAGTTCGATTCCTCTCCTGGGAGAACAGCCAGCCTGTGTGACCTTGGGAAAGCTGCATGGTTCCAGAAGAAGGGAAATGTAAACTACCTCTGAGCATTTTTTCTACTTGGAAAACCCCCAAAGAGGGTTGCCACAAGTAGAACTGACTTGACGGTACATGATTATTATTAACACATCATCCAATTATTATTAACACATCTGACCCTTCCACTACTTGCTCCGAACATGCTGTTATTTCTGACAGCATCTGATACCACCAAATATCCCCAATTCTATAACCTTTGGGTGTGATGGACTACAATTCCCATCATCCAAAACCAGAATCGGCAATGGCTCTACTGGTTGTGGATGATGAGAGTCGCCCTTCAACCCACATCAAGTTCACCTGGTCGAGAAAGGACTTATTTCTGCTGTCTTCCTTGATTTTCTGCAAATCATCATTAAGTGCCTTGTTTTTTTTTTTCCTCCGATGGGGGAAACAACCACAAATATAGAATTTAAGGAACTCTTATTAAGCATATTTTGAATAGGTGGGGGTGAAGCGTGTAGCCACTCACAAGAGCTTCTGAAGCGTCCTCTGCTGATAGACCTCGTTGGAACAGTAGATGACGTACGGATTAAAACGGTTGGTCGCGTGAGTCTCCACAATGTCGCTGATGTCCGGGATCAGGACGTTTTCTTGATGCCTCTTCTCCAAGTCTTCAAAAAAGCTAACAGAGAGAAAGGGAGACGATGTATGAGTTGCAGTGTGTATGTGTAAAATAAAGCTTGGAACAGTGAATTCTGGCATCTCGAGAATTCCCCTTTCTGAGCACAAGGAAGTAAGGGGAAATCTTCTTATTGGCTGCCATTGATCTGGACTCACTATTGCTGCTTATACATTTCTCAGTACAGGGAGAAACTGTATAGTGTAAATTAGGAATATATTTACGCATCTCTCTCTAAAGCAGGGTTCCGTAACAGGCTCAAGCTGACAGGGGGAAAATTGATTCGTTTGAAATGCGTTGCTGGAGGAGAGCTTTGTGGATAGGCTGGAAGGTTCAGAAAGACAAACAAGGGGGTCCTAGATCAAATCGAGCCTAAACTCTGTCTGGAGGTAAAAATAATGGAACCGCTGGTCTATATTCCTTGCTAGGGAAGTCGACGTTAAACAGAAGTAAATTTAATGTTAGTTTCCATGAGTACACACCTACAGATGGGTTTGATTACCCTACATTAATGTCAAGCCATTTATTTCAATTGGTTTACTCTCACTCAGGCTATCGTTTAACCCAGATCTGACTTGTTTACTGTTTTTTTGTTATTTTTTATCACTAACATTTTAATAGTTCTCTCTTTCCCAAAAATCTCAGGATAAAGCCAGACAACAACCTTGTACATTAAAGCTGAGTCAAAAGATTGATTCTTAATCTAATGAACTATCGAGATCTACAGATCCCTCTTAAATCTTCCTGTATCCAGAGTGGATCTGGCCAAATCTAGAGGGACTGCCGATTTGGAAGGATTAAAGAAAATATTTGTCAATTTGGTCCTAGTTGAAGCTGAACCTAGATCGTTCCATATGCCTGACGCTCTGCACCCTTCTGTTTCAGGAAAAACTTATTAATTGTTAGAGCAGTACGACAATGGGACCGATTACATCGAGAGGTGGTGAGTGCTCCAGTGCACACAAGAGAAAAATGGACAACCAGCTATGAGATCTGCTTTAATTTGGATTCCTGCCTTGAAAAGGGGGGTTGGAATGAATGGCCTTATAGGCCATTTCCAACTCAGATTTTATATGATCCTTCTTAAACCCCCTTCCTCCTTCTGATTCACCTTTTACTAACCGCCCAGATGTCCGCAATGTTGGAGAAGAGGTGATGGTGATCTGTTTGAGTCATGGTCTCCTTCAGCTCTTCCGATTTGAAGAAGTGGGTGACCAGGATCTCCAGACTCCGCATGTAGGAATACTGCGAGGTGATAATCTCAAATATTGCCTGCGTTAAAATAAAAGGTAGAAAGGAGAGGAATATGCACAAAGACGTGGCTCTTTATTGTCTTTACACAGGGTCTCCTTCCTGTGGTTTCTCCCCCAACAAAATGGAGGGGGGGGGAAATGAAGGATTTGAGAGTGAAGCAAACTAAGGATGAGACCATGTCCACATTTCCATGAAATGATACTCTGGAGCAAAGCAAAGCTGCTCCCACTGCAGAATGTTTGGGAATGACAAGGCAGGATTCCAATTGCTTCCATAGCTTATTACACCACCCAAATTGGGACGCTGATTTGACCATGAACCAACAACTCAGCAAAAAATAGGTACACTACACACTTCAACATATCATCTCATCATCAGAGGACTGCAGAGCTGGGAGGGGCCCTATGGGTCACAGAATCCAGTCCCTGTCAATGGGGCACAGTGGGGGGAACCGAACCCCCCCAACCTCGGGCTCCGTAGCCCAGACGCTGATTTGACCATGAACCAACAACTCGGCAAAAATAGGTACACTACACACTTAAACATATAAACTGAGGACTGCAGAGCTGGGAGGGACCCTATGGGTCAGAGAATCCAGCCCCTGTCAATGGGGCACAGGGGGGGGAACCGAACCCCCCCATCCTCGGGCTCCGTAGCCCGAGACCTAAACCACCGAGCTATCTAAAAGGAAAAATTAAAATTCTCCAGATGGGCTCAAAGAGAGACTTCTTCCTTGAAATAATTCATAAGGACAGGAGGGAAGCTCAGAGCATACCAGCCTTTCAATTTTTTTTCTGTTAGTCGCAAAAAAAATAAATCTCTCTGGTACCCCCAGTTGGGTTCCTGGTTTGCCTTTCGAGGCTTCCCTTACCTCTTGCCTCTTGCGTTCCTCTGGGGAGATTCGCTCCAGGATTCCCGCCTCCTGGACCTGCAAGAAGCAACACTGAGTCACTCATAGCATCATCTCTGACAGCTCGTCTCACAGCGGCAAAAGAGGTACGCAGAGTGAAGCCCTTCCAGATCGTCTCATGAGTGGGGTCTCGGTCCTTGAGTTCAGCAGCCTGCATGTAAAACACAGACCTGTGAGCCCCTATAAGAACAATGCAAGGGGACAGTCACTCCCCTCTGAGCTATGGAGAGGACCACTTTCGATGTCGATCACCTTCTCTCTTATGGTCTGTCACTGTCTAGGAGACGTTGTCCAGGTTTTGAGGTGGGACTGGGCCCAGTAAGTGTCAAGAGGCGTCAAGAGATGCCGAGGGTTGAAGGTAAAAAGTACGAACATAAGTGCTCCCAATGTTCTCATTTCTCTGTGATTTTCTGATTCTCACCAAGCCGAGATCTCCCCCCTGCATCATTTTGGGAGTGTAGATGATGGTGAGAAATTATTTCATAGGGAATACTGTGTAACACAGACACACGTATGAATGTTTGTGTTAGTTAAGTATCATATTCAGGAGTTCCGATTCTCCTAAACAGGATACTTAATACAGGAGTGTCCCACTCTTACATCTGACGGAGTGGATTCGTCCACGAAAGCTCACATTAAAAGGTAGCAGCTTTACCAGAGGTAGCTGTGTTTGTCTACGCAAGCAGATCAGGCAAAACCCAAATACAGTGGTGCCTCACTTAATGGCGATAATCCGTTCCAGGAAAATTGCTGTTAAGC